AGACGCGGCAAGATAACAGACAGATGTTGGAGCACTGGATTAGAAAGGAGCAATAAACACACACAGGGATGTCCAGACTGACTATATGTGCCACATTATTATATTAAAAATGCCTCGCCACACACAGTCAATGTAATCCACTTGCGCTCCAGCAGAAATACACACGCAGAACTCGGTGGCTTCCATATCAATATGTGAATACTATCTAATTGGTCATATCGTGAAATTAACAGCAACTCTTTTCATTTCATTAGGCCGAGGTATGTGAATATGCCAGCACTGAAAGCAAGCAGATCTATTGTATATACACGACTGATTCATAGACTAATTGAGTTGCATGCTTTTGTTGGTAGAGCCAACGGGTCAGGGTTTAATTGCACTGATGTGAAAATGTGATACTGTGTTTAATTTTTGTAATACATGGTTTTTTGACGCTGTAATGAGCAACTGAGTGGAGTGAATGTGGTCGTTTTTCACCGGCATGTGAGAGCACAAGCTCACGATACTCTACCAAGGTGTATTGTTGAACCCTTCAGTCGGGCCAAATGGCTGTGTTAGATTTTTTGTTTGTTTGTTTGTTTGTTTTTCTAGTTGGAAAAAAAGAGAAATATGTAGCAGAGATAAACTAGAAAGCAACTGCGTGTAGCATGAGTTCTCATCATTTCGTTTGTGTGCATTTTCAAATAAAAAGGGCTACTGTTTTTTATCACATACATCACTTGTGTTGTGTTATTTTTACAGTGTCAGTACTGTAAGTAATTTTGTTTGGCTTTTGGTTGCTTTTTGTTTTGTTTGTTCTTTCTGACACATGATTATTAAAAGCATTTGAGAACAACAACCTTGCTCTGGTCCCTTTTTTTTCTCCTTGTGTTTTTCATGGCTTCACCACATTAGGATCAATTCTACAACATTGCCATCTTGTGGTAAAGCGATGTTATCAGGAACCACATCAGAAGCATCAAACACACTTCCAGTTACTGGATTTTTGCTCGAACATGTGTCTGATGCCCCCCCCACACACACACTAGTTTTAACCAACTCAGTTCGTTTAAGGTGGCATTGTGATGATATATTCAGTCTAGATGGACTGAAAATTAACTGAATAAATGTTTCTGTACTGTAAAAGGAGGCCTGCTGTACTGAAAGACATGCGTTTTCCAAGAGGGACCTGACTAAATACAACACATAACAATATGACAAGTAAAGAAAGACATACAGCTGACATTCAGTACACACAGTTGAACACAAACATGCAAATCATATAACAGATCAATAACAGATCATTACAAAAGCAGTCACACTGACCAAAAGAGCTATTCTCTCGCTCCTTTAAAGTGGACATTGTCATCTCCTTCTGTAGGATATTATTACAGGAAACAGAGGCCACAGCTTTACAAGCCTTTCCCCTTTATTCCATTTGGACTCTGGGGACAAACATTTGTATAACATTGTGAAAGCGTAGGCTTATGCTCGTTGTACTGGTGATTGTGGGTGGAAAAAATGATTATTTGGTTCTATCTGTGGCCCTGTTTATTGTGCATATATATCACGATCCCATTTAGGTGACAGCATAATACAAACTAAAAGAATAAAATGACACAGGTTGCCCTGGGCAGTCTGGGGATTTAAGATTAAGTAATAACACAGCAAACCCCCAAAGAGCAGGCAGTAGCTCTGGGGCAGGCTTTCTTAGTCATGTGGTTTATTTGTTACTTCAAATGCAGATTGCCCTACACTCAATGTGTTTTTTCACAAGTAAAAGGGTGCCAAAAGTGTCTCACCCTGATGTGCACCGGTACCACTGATTTATTAGGACCTGGATTATAAGCAAAGGCACAGGCTGGAATAATAACACTGATGATTAACTTGGTTTGTCTGCCCTACTCAATCTGACAGCATCAGATCTGAATTCAGGAGCCAAAACCGCATGTCAAATGTTTAGGAATGTTTAGATAACAACGTCACGTGGTGCGGGGCTGAATTATAGACTTGAATTGATAGAGCGGACACTCCCCCTCAGTGCAACCCCCTCAATGAGTGGCCGGGGTAGCGGCCGCTCTCTCCCTAAAATTGGTGCCACAAACTGTTTATCGCTGTCGTAATGTAAGTAATTTAGTTTGATGGCAGCCTTGTCAGGTTACGCTGAGACCATGTAAGGGCTCTCCCTTCTATCCAGCCCAGCTCTGTGCTCTGAATCCTCTGCAGTCTGCATCAGCAAAGTGTCTTGGCATCACTTCTCGTTCTTCCTCCGGTGTCCATTCCGGCGTCATGTGAAGGGGGTTTACGGTGGTTTCTCTCGCCCTACACCGGACCCTCTTCCGTCGATCTCATTTGTCAGTGACAAGGTCCTCGCCCTGGTGGACCATCTGGGGGTAGTGTCCCTGTCTCCGCTACTCCCGGTTTATCCAGCACTCTGTGGCGTGCGGCGGAGCCGAGGATGAGCGAGCAAGGGAAGGGCTCGGCATCCGCCTCTGCCGCGGCCCCGGCACCTGGGTCGGATACTTACAAAGGCTGGCTTTTTAAATGGACCAATTATCTGAAAGGCTACCAGCGGCGGTGGTTTGTCCTCAGCAATGGCCTGCTGTCATATTACAGGTAAATATCGCACGCATGGCGTGTATGTTTCCTCCTCCCTCCCCCTGGAAAATGTAAACGCCACTTGTGCTCACATTTCTGTGTCGGCGCATCACTACAGCTGGCTGCCTCAGCTGTTTAGCAGCAGGCTAGAGCTAGCTACCGGAGCTGTGACGGAGGAGAAAGTCAGGATTTTCTTTAAAAGACAGCTGGGCGCGGAGAGACAGTGACACAGACGGGGACATATGGGGCAGCTAGTCCTTTAAATAAGTGGGAAATCATGTCACGGCAGGCGCAGACGTTAGCCAGCACACCAAGCTAGCACGATAGCCTCCTGTCATCAGCTGTCAGGCGGCTGCAGATCCAGCTGTCCGCCCGGGGAGACCGACACGACAGGGTGCCCGGCCGCTTTTAACACACATTTAATAACCCTTCGCCCTGAATACTTCTTTTTATGTGACTTTCACCGTCTCAAATACCTTCGCCACATGACCGCCACGTTACTTTTCAGAGTGCATTCATTCATTGCATCACGGTCACGTTACTGAGCCCAGCCACTTAGTATGATCGCCGTAACGGGATACTGTGCGAGAGAAGGTCGCTATCGTTTATCCGTCTGTCCTCGCTCCTATCGCACAGCCAGGTAGCTGCGAGCTAGTGTTAGCTGTAGTAGCACCTGTGGATCAGGTGCTTTCTCCGCGGGAGTCATGTTTCCGCAGGTGCAGGTGTTCAAGCTCATACATGAGCTCTCTGAATGGATCGTAAAGCACGCCAGCTCCTAGGCTTATTTCAGTTAGTAACGTGGATTTATACTATAGCACTTCAATTTAAAGCCAGTCAGAATCAACAAATCTCCTTGGCAACAGCAATGAGAATTACAGACTTGCTTCAATTAAGTTTATGTTATTTTATATAAAGCCAAATCAAAAGAACAGTCGCCTCAAATCACTTTATATCATAAGCTAAAGACCCTACAATAATAGAGAGAAACGCCCCAATCATGTGACCTTTTATGAGCAAACACTTGGTGACAGCGAGAAGGAAAAACCTCCTTTTGGCAGGAAGGAACATCGGGCAGAACCAGACTCTGGAACAAAGCTGTACCTGCTTTGTGTGACATAATCTTCACAGCTTTCCCCCTAAACCTCTTTGATATACTGACAAAGATGGTGGGACAGAGGCAGAAAGCCAGATCTTGAGCTGCTGTTTGGTCATGCAAAATTAGTTGATTTTCACTTTCACTGCTTGGCTGTTGCATGTTTAACCTGTTTGTTTGCTATTGCTGCTGCTTTTGTCAACACTGAAACACCCTGCATTATTTGATGTACACAGACGGTTTCAGCAGTTTGTACGTCATACTGAGGCCTGTCATGTTACCAAAGCATTTATATCAGTGGGATCTTTTGGTCATAGTGTTTTCCAGCAACAGATGTTCGCCCTGTCTCTGACCCAGTTTCCCTAATTAAAGAGTGAAGGTGCACCTAATGGCATTAACCTTCCTCTGCTCACCATGCTGCGAGTCAAAGCCTTGACTGTGAAGTTTAAATGCTTTCACAGTTTAGATGGCTCTAGCATGATGTGTTAATGCACTCTGTAATTGCTTGCAGCCATAAAATAATGCAAATCATAAGTTGATCCCTCTGGGTTAATGTCTTTTTCAAATGTCATCTTTAATTGGGAGGTTAGAGTGCTTGTTTAAAGGGTCCCCTGCGAACCGTCTGTGTACATCAAATAACGCGGCGAATGCTCATCAGTACGATTTTGCCTCCCCGGGCTGTGAAGCAAACTTCTGACTCACGATGTTTTCCTGCAGCTCCAAAACTAAAAATGCAGATTGAATAGGGAGCTTTCTCTACTCTGTGTGCTGGCAGAAACACAATCAAATCTCTTTTCAGACCATTTCATGCCACACTTTCTGAAACAGACTCTTTGTGTTTTAGTGCCAGTGGGGTTATTTGACAGAGGTGTGGTAGATGCGGCCCCACACCTGCCCGTGCTTGTGGTGAAAGGAAAGATGCCTGTTGCCTCTACCCTCTATTAATAGTCCATTATGTTGTAAGGTGACTGCTGTCCCCGGAGTAAAGGTAGCCCGTCGACATCTGAGCACAGAGGCAGCGAAGCGAACGAGCTGTCCCCTCCACTGCTGTCTTCCTGGCAGACCACACTGTGCGTGTCTGACTTCAGGCTTTGTGTTGCGCCTTCTCTGGCTGACTGTCTGCGCTTCTTTTGTGAGTGAAGTAAAGGGGAAACAGTCAGTCAAATGTGACAACGTGTTAGGTTAAAGTATTTTCTGACTGTTTTTTGTCTTTAGGTTGAAGCGTCAGAAG